TTATATTACAAAATGAAATGGATTTCCAAAATAGAAGTGATATTGCACGAATTTGGTCATCACTTCTATATGTTTGATCCATCGATGATGTAAGACTGATCAGATAAAAACCTGTAAATTGGCGAACGAATTGCTGCTTGTGTGAGCAGATACTGGACCATGGAATTAGTTTATATGTGGAATGATTGCATGGAGTGGGTATGACTTGGGGGAACTGGTTATGTTAACAATGATTGATGCATCATTATTATTCCATTTGGGAAATCCGTTCACATGATTCATATTCACATATTCTTATTCACAGAAGAGACCGTAGATCAAACTTGCGGGTTTTCTCTTGTTCCGGATAGGGATTGAAAGGTTTATAACTTTTGCAATTCAAGTTGTCCGAATATCATTTCAAGATGTCTGGGTATCATTTCAAAATTTCTGAGGAGCATTTCAAGCTGTCTCGTTGACCTCATCGGTGCTGAGATGCCTCCCAGCGATGTTGTTTATCTTGCAACTACGCCTACGCGTCTGTGTGTATGAACGACCAAGGTGGTGTTTCTATCGTGAAACTGGATTGAGAAATGGGACAATGGCAATACAATTGTTCGAAGCCAATTGGTACTTACTGCTTGTGAATGTCATACGTTAACCTTAATTCACCCGGTATACTTTTTGTGGTGGAAGTGTTCAGGTAAGTCTATATGATTTCAGCGATAAAGATAATCGAATTCAGGGCCAATACTCGGAAAAGTGCATTTTTGAAAACATTCCAATTTTTGAACTTGTAGTTTTTGACGAAAATCAGATTGATGGGATTGAGGTAAACATTAACTGGATCTGAACTACTTTGGTGATAGTTGCAAACTGTACACCTGGTCTTCGAAATCGGGGACGTCAACAAATCCTGATGCTTCATGAGTGCAGTCCCAGTCTCACAATGGTCCTTTTTATCGAGACAAATGTTGATATGCAGTTGACCGATCTCAGTTGTAATCAGATGTTTCGGAAGTTTTTCAATATCTACCTTTCCAGTCATATCTGTCCCGGATTTCGTCTGAAAGTGACTTTTGATGAGGAGGGAAGAAAATACATCATCGGAATGACATAATTTCAAGTGATCTGCAGGGAACCCACCTCAGGAAGAGGGGTTGTTGTTAGTGAGTACGGAAAGATCCACCGTAGAAATTAGCCATCCAAGTGCCGGGAAGCGCTTGACAACACTCGAGAGGACTACAGATTCTGTTCGTTTCAACCAGAGTTACAATAAACCAAACGGAGTGGGGAGCAAGACTAACAGAAACCGAGTGAGTGAGAGTGATGTCCACGCTGTAGATAGAATCAGATGTACGGCTTTTGTATACATACTCATGGGGTAACCTAGCGATTTTGTCAAGCGTGCCTATAAACAAGCGAATTATCGCTCGAAGTTACTGACGGTATACTCATTTTGTGAACTAATTATCTTCTCAGAGCAAACTGGAAAACCAGTCTGGTGGTGTATTTGTCGATCATGAAAATTCAGGATTATGACGCAAAGAAAAATCGTAACAATGAATTCAGAAAAGTGAATGTGAATAACGTGCGGATGGGAAATAAACAGGAAGAAATGACGTAGTCTGACATATATGAACCGCTCTTTGATACGAAATGCTCGAGTGAGACGAGAAACCGATACGGGATTGTGTTACCCACGAGACGAAACTGTTCGGGTTCGAAAAGCACAGTCGAAATTTGCGGTAATAGTAGAATAGTACTGAATTTAGGAATATGAGAATCCGTACTGTACTGCTCAGAACTGAATTGACTCCAACCCGAACTGCGAACACCAATGAAATACACGAGGAATTGATAGCAGCAAATGCTCATATTTATTGATGGAATTAGATCATGTTTCTTAGAATGTAATAGTCCATATGATTGGTTCAACGAGCATCCTCCAATCACGTAACCGTTTGCACCGATGTATCATATGTGCTAACCCGGATGTCATGTTCGCCCGGTGATTGGATGACATGAAACTGTACCTCGTCGTGCATGGATTGCGGTCAAGGAAGTCTGGATCACCACAAAATTCCATGGCTCGGTCGTGGCTGATACATCCAGATTTGAGCTCGGCTGTTCATTGTTTCTTCAATGGGAAAACGACAGTACGATGAGGAAAGGCGCTAGGCAAAAGTAACTGCACTTTCGTGTTCCCTATATATATTCAGTATTTTTCACGCCATAGGCCACATCATTTTTTTGTGCCTGTCGAAGTAATCACTTCAAAAGTGACAGGTTCGTCAGGAGCTCACAAACGGAATCAAACCATATTGAAGACTATGGAATCTCTGCTCTTACGGTAGTATTAGTCTACGTTGTATGCCGGGTCTACGGGCATGGTATCTATGCTACAGCAACCGAGAACATGATTTACGGAGCTCAGCACTCAGATGGAACTCAGAACTACATCGGTATTCACATTCGCCTGCCAAATCCAATTTCGTGAACCGATGGGATCGATCAAACAGCAAAAATGGATGAAGTGTCGAATCGTTGCATTCTCAAATCTGATCTGTGTGCGTGACAGAAAGTGGTCTCTAGATAATCTAACTGCTCAGATCAAAACTGGACCGCGCGGGCCTGGTGCAGGCCTAGGTCGTATATAAAATGTTGATCAGTAGCACTTTGGAAGTTGAAGCCTAAATTCTACTTTCTCATTTTCATTTCACCATCCCTTAATGACCCAACCGCACTTATTTACTGTTGTTTTGGATACATCACTGGGAAAATGTGGTCCCCTAACTTGTGTTCTGATTAAAACGCTGCCGGTGTATTTCGTGATTTGAATATGCATTCCTCATGCACAGTCAACGTGTCATGTTTCAATGAAAAATCTTAAATATTTTCCGCCTTGTCTCTAAATTGTCAGTCGTCATCAAGTAAACTGGGATTCGAACAGGGACACGGTAACTGTTGTGATCATTCTACTTGGACTTGAAGCATATCCACCTTCTCTGTCCACTGTGGTTGGACCTTTTGAGGCGGAAATTAACAGCAAGTGCGGAAGAACAGGTCCGGGAAAATATTATTGACTAAGTAATGTGTAACAGGTAATGCGTACAGGCGAATCGATGGTGTCGCTATGAGCAGCCCACTAGGCCCAGTCCTGATCGACTTGTTCATGGCACATCGGGAACAAAGAGAATCTAATATTCTGGGGCGTGCTATCCTGTACAAAAGATACGTTGACGACACCTTGGTTATAACAGAAAGCTTAGAAGAAGCTACGATAATTATGGATGAACGCAACAGACTACATCCAAATATACACTTCACAATGGAATCTGAATTGAACAACACACTCAAATTCCTTGACATTAGCATGACCAGAAGAGAAGACGGAACGATTGCTCGATCCGTTTATCGAAAGGAAACCTTGATAGGCCAATATTTACACTTCGAGAGCTTTATGCCCCTGTAGTCTTGTTCGGACCTTATTTAACAGTACAAGACGAATCTGCACGGAAGACAGAATTGAGCAAGAACCGCAAAACCTCCGGGAGTTTGTAGCAAAAAACGCCTACCCCGAAGCATTTATTAATAAGCATTGCAAACCGAGAATTGCAAAACAACCGATTGCGTCAGTTGCCAAATTGCGGATCACCTTGTATCTTCAATTCAAAGTTGATGACGTAAGCCACCTGCTCTTCAGACGACTGAGGTCAGCAATCGCTCGAATCCACTACGCAAACAGTATACTCACACCCCCGGCAAAAGAACGTTTGCCTCTGTACACCAAATCTGATCTACAAATTCCAATGTGGTTGCGGAGCAAACTACTTGAGAAGAACAGAGCGACAGTTACACAATCGGTTGGTGGAACATATTTCAAATTGGGTCCAAAATCAGCTGACCCAATTGAGGTCAAGTCCGCTGCATAAAAACGACGGTCGAAACTACTAGACCCCATTCTCAACCATTGCTCGACATCTGCTGATGACGCAACACCAGAGCGACCGAAACACAGAGTTTCGAATTTTCTACAAGTCACGAGTTGCAAAATTGCTAAGGTTTGCTGAAAGGATTACTTTTAATCGATGGAAGCTCCCTCCCTGTGTCAACAAAAAGAACTTTATGTTAGTTTCTCCCTACCCTGATGATATGGTCATTTTACCCCTCCCTCTTTTATGTTTTGTCTGTTTTGTTTTTTTCAATGTATTTTGCTTTACTTTGTTGCCATGATAAAGCCCTATATAACATTGTAAATTCTGCAGTATGCACCATGTTGTGATGCAGCAAAATCGTGCACGGGACATAAATCGTGTAGTGCAGGATTTCAATATTGTCTTTTTCTTTTTCAATATTTTTTATTCATGGCCTCTGATGCACAAGTTTATCGATTAATTTCAAATTGCTTTCTCACTCTTAGGGGGGGGGGAAGTACTCACTGAAAATTATTTGATTCCTGAATGGTCCACTCACATTCTATTTATTTTTTCTCGTTGCTTATGGTTTCTCTGTCCCAGGTCCCAGATCCCCGAAACCCGCACTAACAGAGAAGGCGGTTCAGATATGGGTTGCCCTGGTCTTGTTACTGATGTTGATTTCCGAAAACAATTACACATAGTTCAAGAAAATGTTTATCATGAGTTCCGGATTGGTGAAGTGGGGTGGGTTGAAGGCGCGGGAAGTACTCTAATAGCTATTGCTTTTTTTGTTCTCAGTCCCGTATGTGAATTGTCATTATGATATTGGATTGGGACAAGCGAAACCATTGGACGAGAAACTTGTGTGCGTGCATCCTATGACTGACCTCGGTCTATTTTCTATTGTGTGCCAGGACAAATAGTTGCTGAACGCATTCTTTTCACTGATAAACTAAATTCCACCGTCGATCGATAAATGTGTGTTTTAACGATTTATTTGCCATACCTTTAATCCACCATCCCCGTTTCAGTCACACACGGAACAGTTGTATTTAAGATTGTCAATTGAAAAATTAACAAAGCGTAACAGATCAAGTCAAAATGGAACGTACGGTTGTTCCCGTGGATAGGTATGCGATAGGAATCGTTGTAATCCTTGCCATTGCTTTACTCTGCACCGTTGCTGCTCTGGTCGAAATCGGGATTTCGGGAAGTGAGTTTTCGACGTGTATTGTCGTTGTCTATTGATGATTTTCGTTGCGATCAAACGGCCTATAAAGTTCAGATCGATCTCGAATAGTATTTGTTCATCAAATCCTGCGCGGAGTTAGCGGTCGTGAAACAAGCACACCACGGAACGTTAGGTCAGTACCGAGTAAATGTTATATTTTATATGAAGCTTGACGAATATTGATTGTGTGCTCGAGATCGTTTATAGAAAAAGTGAAACAGTTACCTTCGGTTGATCCAATGGATTAAGCAGTATGCTTGTGTACCACTTGCGAGATCTTCGGTTCTCTCAGAGTTTGGGCCAATAGAGCTTCCCTACTACCGAGACCGGAGAAGTGCAAAGCAGTTTCTTTTTATCACACACTTAAGTATGATGAACAGTCGAAGGGGCTAATCCGATAGTGGCGAGGATTTGCTGCTCAGTGGTGGAAACCGGTAACCTAAGCCCAGCGGGACTTGGAGTGGCGAACCACATAAGGTCCCGATAGGTTAGGCGGGGTATTGAACTGGACGACAGCAGAGCTGCCTACCATCAAAGTCGGGTAGGACGGTGGCGGGGCTTGAACCTCGGACCACAGGGTCCAAAGCACGCCGGTAACAGCGACTAAACCACAGCGCCATCACCAGCTAATTGTTAGCTTTTCATCTTTCGTTTCCTTATTCAAAATGTCTATCAAGTCTATAGTAAAATGGAATCGAGTGTAACAAATTCATGCATGAATCATTCAAAGTGCTCGTCTCCAAGGTATGCTATGATCTCTTTGATACAATGGCAAAGAAATGCCGTCCTAACGAGAAAAGTGATTGAAGTATTGCACTTTGTGATGAGTGTTAATGAACGAACTGTAGAGACACAGGAAATCAGGAAATCAGATTTGTGTTCGAGCTCAACTATGATGCCTATTGAAAGAACCGTCCAAGATTTCAACTTCGTAATCATTACACGGAAGGTGTGAAGTACCATTGGACTAACCAGCTCACATTGGAGTTGAACAGAATTGCCACCTGACGTTTGTTTATTTGTCGCCTTCAGTGATAGCCAGTTAGTCGATTTGCCCAACAGCAACGAATGGAGACTCCATGGACCCGTTTGCCGTGTGATCCATAATCGTGGCAAAACCTTCGGCCGTCTGTATTGACCTGCAAATCTTCACTTCTCATGCATTGGCAATGATTTCTGTTTTGAAGCGGTCACACTAACAACTAAGAGTCAGTCAGAAATGTTCGCTGTTGTTGACCGTGAGAAACAGCAATAGACTGAGACGCATTTTGCTCCGTGGAACTATTTTCACAGTCTAATAATATAAATAGCTAAATAGAAAAATGTCATGTAACATTGTCTGGTATTACATATATCACGCGCAACAAATGCAACTTTATTGGTCAGTTTCACTGGTTTTCAATTTTGCACCATGTCAGCGTCTCATCGAGACCGCACCCCCCTCCCCAGCCTAAAACAGCCAACGGTTGGTGTAAAACTGATTTTCATTAAAACTGTTCCAAGTGAGACGCACGAATAAATTGCACCGGCGTTCGAGTGGGTATTATTAGACAATTGGTTGAATAAATGTCCCTGGTGAACAGCGCTTGCGACAACAACACGGACCAGTTAACATCCATCAAAATCAAGTGACCTCGAATCTGACGACATTGAACGGGATTCAACTGCAATGACTACCGCCGCTCAACATAGGAATTATTACGCAATACGATAATGAAACGGGAGGTTCCGGTCTCTTACCATCGTATTGTGTTCAAAGATTTCAGGTCCGCGTGTGTGCGGTTGAATGTATCGCAATATCAAACGTGGTAACAGCATGGACACAAACTAACTAACAACAGATCAAAGTAAACCGCCAACCGCTTTAGGGCGACGAACGGTCGACGGTCATCGAATAGCTCCAGCCTTCATGAACAACAGTTCCATTTCTCACTTGAGATAGTGGTTAATGCTGATGATGGAGGGCACATGTAAATCGACCGATCTGGCGTATTAATTGGACCTCGTGTTGCATTTAATTTTGTTCGCAGGAAACCGGTGATGTGCTGCATTGAAGTAATCTGATAATATTAGTGCAACCACTTGAGGTTGATTAAGCGGAATTAGACACTTAACTTCAGTATCATGCATTTTTCTATATTCGTTTCTCCCTCACGAACGCACACTTATACTCATCCTTTTCAATCTGTCTTTATTTCCTCGTGCTCAGTTATCGGAGCCTCGGCCTACCGCACCAAGGAGGTTCTCGAAGCTTCCACTGCATTCGCTGCGCTCACCTTGTTCACCCTAGCCTTGGCGATTATAATCCACGCGGTTCGAATGGTTCGCGGCACTTCGCATCCCCGTCTGTTCACCGTACTCTCGCTCGGGCTGATCTGCGCATCACGTGAGTTTTGTGTACAGTGACCAGCCCCATTTTCTGCAATGCGTACACAAGAGCAGTTTGACTGCGAACGCAGTCCCCATTAGAAATGGATGTCCCACCCAGTTAGGAATGAACAATCTTTCCGGGTTGTGATTAACTCTCAACTACAGATGCGTACAAATCCCGAGTTAGCGAAACACTGAGCGTTGAACACAGATATTGAAAGTTGGTTCTCGTAGCTTGCTAGCAATTTGTTTGAAAAAGTTTTATCACGAACAGCCGAGGTGACATCATCAATGCTTGTGAAGTGGCAGTATTCTGCTTGTACCCGTTCGTTTATATATGCGTTCTTCTCCACCGACTATTTTTGTCCCCTGTTCTCATTGTGTTCAACTCGATTCGCTGTTGAACTGGTGTGTGTGTGGGGGGGAGGGGGGAGTTGATGAAACGTTTGCAAACAAATTACCAAGCTCGTTGGCCAGACGGAATAGAAATTGAGCTTCACACTTCCTCGATGATACTCAATTCAGTTCTGTTGAATTCAGAGAGTTGATTAAAAAGAAAACTGTAGAGTGCCTGGTAGAATATCCATCTGAGTAGATAAGTGGCAACCACGGAGAAGCGCTGACCGTCTATGAACTGGATAGGGTCAACGGATATAAGGAAAACTAGGGGTATTTGGGATCTTGCAAGCTCTGGAGAATATTACAATCCCTGCTGCTCAAAACAAATTACTGTAACCAACCCAGCAAAATCACCACTGAAGACGATACATGAACACACATGAATTGGTAATTTGGTTCAGCCATGCTATGAGAGCTGGTTGGCATAGTGGTTACGCACACGCCTTCCATGCCTAATGGGTCCGGATTTCAAATCCCGGACGATGGGAAAGTGGATATGCACTACTGATGAGCTCTAATAAGAGTGAAGCTCGAGTCTAGTGCTTCCGAGTGTATGATCGAATCGATGAAATGAGGATTGTGCGTGAAGGTGAAGTCCGAAAGATAGTCAATTCAAATAAATATAAATCACCGTAGTAATAATATTGATGTTGGTGAACAGAGATAATGAATGTGTGATAGCCGGATTCATCTGTTTCACTTTCAATTTGTTTTATTGTTTCAGTCTGCTTTATAGTTGTGTCCTGTACGATGATGGGTTCCGTCGTGAAACCGGGACCATTCTTCTGGCTAATCTCAACCACTTGGTTATGCTTTTCCGCATGCTTCGCGGGATTTTTCGTGGTATTTCGAAGCTAGATGAATACTCGTGATGGTGACTGTCGGTTGAATTCCTGGCACATCAAGGACAAGCGGTTTTTCAATCTCACTTCTATGATTTCCCAAATCGAAACCGTTGCTTAAAATCCACACGTGTTGCGCACAATTTTGTACGCATCTTCGATTTACTTTTAACACAATATGCATAATTGTGTAATTAAGGAAAAAAATTGAAAATGTATATTGAAATGTACAAAAAAATCGAATTATTTTTTTAATAATAAATCACTTGCTTACTTTGTCTTCATTTTGCTTGATTACTTTCTGCATGAGGGCTCGGTGGATTTATTGAATTGTCAGAGCTCGGATACTGAAATTACCAACCAATGAGAGACCCGGGTTGCCCCATCGTGTTCCCGAATGGCCGTTGCAGCATTGCGAGAACTTGTGGTACAATGATAACTTAACAACATATCCTGGGAGGTCGTACCAAACGATAGCTTAGCGCGAATCCATAATTCATTTATCCAACCACAGTACAGATTATTACAAACGACAGCATAGCCGGCCAATTCCTTCCAGATGTGAGACAGTGAGTCAGTGCAGAGTTCACACTTGTGATGGGTCTCGAAATCATGATCTAACTGTCGCGCAATGGACAAATCAAGACGAAGTAAATGGATTGGAATTCGTGTGAAAATTATTTGAGCATAAGTTACAACAAATGTAACCCGTCAGTTCCGATTTTTATCACAAAGTAACCACCGATGAAATGAAAATAGATCACATATGATAATCCAAAGTCGATTTGTTTAAGCACAAAACACCTAAGCTGTTGATTTTTGTTTCCAAACACGTAAAAGTTGTAACAATAACGCGGTGCAGGGGGGGTTGTTTCACTTTTGTAAACGTGACAGTTAAGGATAACTACTTGGAATGGATGACTTGCCCTGTTCGTGTGGATTTATAACGAGTGAATAACAGTAGGGTTAGAATCGTCGATGTACGTTCATGCAAACAAATTCAAATTTTTGTTATGGGTAAATTACCAAGCTGATGCCTACTGAATCCCGTAGGATCTGAACACACACTGCAGTTCGATTGGTGGTACAATGAAATAGAAAATTATGAGGTTCACTCATGAGCGTCGAAAGGTTAGGTGTTTTAGTGCTTCATCGAATCGTGACTTGAATGAATCGATGGTTGATACACAAACAGTTTCAGTTTGAAGAGAGTTCCAGGTATTATAAACTCCGAGGCTGAAAGAGTGATGCCTGCAGTCTGGCCGACTCTTTTGGAGCAGTAGTTTAAACGGATGTCCTCGGAGGTAATCATTCTTGGATAGCGTCAGTAGAGTACTACATGGGTGTTTAGTTTGATGTAGTATTTGATATACGAGGATCAAGTCTCCCTGTATTTGACGGTATTCAGACGAATAGAGACCGATAATTTGCAGTCTTTCACTGTAGGTCTTAGATTGTAACCGTTTGACCATTTTGGTTGCTGTTCTCTGCGGACGTTCGAGTGCCTTTTGGTCGTAAATCAGTCATGGATTTATAGGCCTGTATGGCATACTCGGCATGTAGTCTAATGTATACTGATAGTAAATGGGGCTAGATGTTTGGTTCGAATGATCCAAAAACACGTTTAAGCAATCCAACGTGATGGGCTTTAATGATGCTCTTGCACAATGTATGGAACTTTCGAGATTCTCACGAACGATAACTCCCAGGTCCTTTTCATTTGGAGAACACGATAATGTCTGAGTTCCAAGTGAATATGGAAGGTGATCCATGTGAAGCAAAGATACAACCTTGCATTTCTCAACGTTGAATTCGATTTCATTGGTGATGGACCATCGATAAGCTACGTCGAGAGTTTCCTGCAGGATTTCATAATCTCCAGGATATTGTACCATCCCCAATGTCTTTGCGTCATCAGCGAATACTAATGCCTTTTCTCCAAGGACATCTGGTAGGTCGTTTAAGATTGCTAGGAAAAAGTACGAACCAAGTACTGATCCCTGTGGAGCTCCACGCACAGCCTCCCGATAAGGAACAATTACCTTGAACCGATAAGGTACTTTGTCGAAGAAATTTTCCAATCTAGTCAAGGAGCAGTCCTCGAAGAACGTAGTTATGGAGCTTTTGCAGCAGTGTGTGAACAAAACCCAGGCATAAAGAAGCAATAACGCAGCAGTGGACTATAGACTATAGAAACGATCATTGACGGTACGGAAGACCAAAAGCGGAATGCGATCTAGAATCTACACCTCTAATACGATGACAGTGTGTAACAACCAGATGCGTCTGAGTATTCTAAAATGTTTTACAGATGTGCCCGGTAAGTTGTGGAACCGAGGGAGAAACTCCAGGTGAATCCGGCAAAGTCACTAGGCGCTACGGCTTCTGGACAGAGAAGCATAGACCAATTCTGCCGACCAATCAGAAGCCATGCGGCCCAGACAAAAGTTGTACGACGCCAAGAATACGAGCATATGATTGGTAGATGCCTGGACAACCAATGAACTTCTTTTATCCATGTTATTGAATCCCTTTTATTTCTGCCAATAAACGAACTACTACTTCTACTGCCTTTCTCTTGCATCTTGGTTACTTGGGATACCGTCGTGAAAGTGCCAGTGTGATTCAATGCTTCTTCAGTGTCCGTGATTCCCAGTATGAGGTTTGTAATCCATGATTCGCAGCTCTTGATCTGTAGGTACTTCAACCCTTACGATACCCCGTTTGCATTGTATAAATCCTTCAGGGAACCAACAATCAGCGATGTCAGATTCAGAGGGTTCCAACACCTATGAAATTAAACTTCGCACCATTTTTAACCACAAACTTTCGATATATCTGAGGATTCTTAAACGGAATCACGTAATATTCTTTCCAACTAAAACAACTAGTGGAGGGCTCAGACCAGTAGATTACCAATGAGAGACCAGCGTTTTCTATTCTCGGTAGTGGAGCTGATCCATGAGTGTAATTTTTAGGCGCACTACTAGCTATTTCCTAATGGCGTTCTTCCTAAACTTAGAGAAGACCTAGAAAGAAGGACCAGTGGATAGTGGATCGGATGACTGGGAAAACATGTGTGATTTCACAGTAAGAGACAAACATTAGGTACTGAAACAAAATAGGTAGAAAAACGCCCTGAGTTGTAAATAATGTGGAATGATTTTAGCCCGGGATTTGGATGTTGGTGGAGGTGTGCTCTCCGAGCTGGAAGTGTTGTTCGCAAACGTTTCGTGGCCAGGCTAGGCAACATCAGTGCTTCCCCGAAGTTGCACTAATGATATTACCTAGCCTGTCTACGAAACGTCTGCGAACAACACTTCCAGCTCGGAGAACACATCATCAGCAACAAACAGCGTGAGTTCTGTTGCATGTATCTCCAAACGTGACAAGTGTGACACATCTTCTGTGACAGGTGGCTACGATATGTCGAGAGAGAGCAAGACCAAGTCTTGCGGAACATTGTATCGTTTACCTTGTAATGAAACAATATCCCGAAAGAGGAATTCAGGTTTGAATGTTCCCATGACAACATTGAGAAAACGATCGGTCGGCGTGCAAGGGTTTTCGGATATTCCTAGTCACATGCTCCTACATATCATACAGTGGAAAAAATTCTTACAGAATGAAGGCCGTTGCTTCATTTTATGGTCATCAATGGAAGTTCAAGTGCTTCACGTGCCTTGGAAGTTTTCAATTTCAAGTCAATCCAACCAATTGCATTCTACCAGGAACCCAACAAAATGATTGGTTCTTCGAACGCAACACATTTCACTGATTGGATCGAGCGTATGAAAATCCCGTCCGGTCGGAATGATCGGATTTCTCCATGGACAAAGAGAAATAATTTTTGAGTGAGTTACCGAGCTAAGATGAAACTTTCGCTGATGTGAGGTTTGACTATTCATCCGCCCACCGGGGGACGTTACGTCCTTGACCGCTGATCATGAGAACGTTAGGCGATAATGAACACACCCGTGGGTAATTGACCTCAGTCGGCCGATTAAGGAAGCTACTTATCCAAACAGGATCATGCTTGGGCGTGACTGTTGGTCTGAATCATTGCATGCGTGGGTTCATTCTAGGCCCTCAGGAGCTCAGCGATTACATTCCATTGAAGCACAGGTTCCCTCGAATAACAACGATTCCTTTGAGTCAAATGCAATTGCCAAAATATTTCTGGCATTGAAAGGCACACTTGACAAGATAATTAGCGAAGGTACAAGATTATGCTGAAGAATTAACAGCATTTCACCGAAATAGCCAGATTAAATTTGAACTCATTCACCAGTTAGCATAAATAACTTTTTTCTCTATGTAACTCTCGACTTGACCATTGCGTTCTGTCCACAATACCAATGGCAACAACATGTCACCTACGGCTTCTCCTTTAGTTACTCAGCTTTGTTGCATATTTTATCATCCTTATTGAGTCATGTATCATCCGCGTTGCATCTTTTCACAGCCTGATCACATCTGTGAGATCATTAAAGTACACTGAGTGCGATTTGTGATGGTGAGAATTATTCCCAATTATCCACTATTTTACAAAGGATGATAGCTTTGCATCGGGTGCTTCAAGGGATATTCTGTAGAGATAAGCACAGTATTCGACCAGCAGTTGTCCTAATATCGATCAGCCACCTTCTCATGTGTGAGGAACAGTTAATTGGCTCTATGGTGTAATCCTCTGTTGATCACTCAACTCAGATTTATCACAGGGATACAGCCCTCATCGGTACAACTCAAACTGGCTATATAGTGTATTTCGACAACGTGTATCTTCTTCAACACGGTCGTTTCTAATTCAATAAAACAGGCTGGCAAACAAGCTCCTTTTCAGTGGCAATTCAACTGGCTCACCACGGTCCATTGAGTGACAAATTTACACAATCGCACACAACAATGTACTTGGAGCCCAAGAATATTGCCCAACAGAGCAGCATAATCATGTTTATAAGCAACCAGTGATGAACAGTGAACGCCGGTTGTGTGTTGCATTCGAAAAATAGAGACTAAGAAATTCCATT